AGAGAGAGAGAGAAGAGGGGAGGAGTTGATCTTGCGAGAACTTCCGGGCGGGTGAGAATAGCCACTTTCATTATAGATCTAGATCTATATAAATCTAGTCTATTTCATTGTATAGTATAGAGGCTATTGAGAATCCGAGTGTATAGATCTAGTTCTAGAATCTAGATCTATATAAAGTAAGTTATGGCCAGCAATCATACACAAAGTTTTCATATTGAATTTAAGTGAAAAATTGATCCTCAGATCAAAAGTACTTTCCATTCTCTGAGCATTTTGATACCAAATGGTGGATAATGTTTGATAAAAATTTTAACCCAGTGACTATGTTCAAGGCGCCATGAATGTTGTTTGCAGGCTACGTTCACGGTGCCCTGAATCATCAACCATTGGCTCAGAGGCACGACTGAAACGCTATAATTATAATGGTTTCGCTCAAAGTCAATGAGGAAACAGAACTGGAATACTCATGTGAAAAATAATGCAGCGGTGGTCCGAATGCTACAGAGTTTATGGAGGGCAAAGGCGGCCCCAGCGAAACAGCCGCGGGCGTCAAGGCCTCGCTCGCTCAGTGCACGGAATACAACTTCGATCTTCTTCCTGTGTGTCGACCCGGCAACACAGGACAATTGGAAAATAAAAGGGTTTCAAGAAACAAGGGAGAAGGAAAGAAGGCCAAGGCAGGAGGAGGGGTGGCAGACGGTGAAAACAGAAGAATCAAAATGTGAATGTAATCACTGCGAAATTTAAAAGGAAATTTAAAAATTGTCTACAATTTTATGAAAAACATGACTTTCTGAGACAGCAAACAAACTTTGCAGCACAAACCAAACTTCTTCAGCCAAGAGTCACTGGTTCTATATTATGTATTTTTATTTTATAGCTAAACATTTTTTTTCCTCTGTTAATTCAAAATGATCATAATGACCTAATTTTATGTTTACAAGGAACCTATTCCCACTTACTATTCTGCATGCATCAGTTGGTCTCACTCTTTTGCCTGAAAACATGTCACCATAGATAGTTTGTATGGCAAACATTGATTTGTTCAAGAGTGCTTTTCTACATTATTACTGCTGACAAAATAAAACCACTCTCTCTCTCTCTCTCTCTCTCTGTCTCTGTCTCTCTCTCTCTCTCTCTCTCCCTCCCTCCCTCC